GTGATTTTGTACTCTAAGTGAAGTGTCATGATTCACAAATCTATTACACAGACACAGTGCCTATGGGGGTATTAAAAGAGTGGATTGAAAGACATGCATGATAATTATAAATTCCCAAAATTTGTTCATACAAAACATAACATTACTTTATCACGCCTTTTATCTCCAAAGGGGTAAGCAGATGTGCAAATCCCGGGAATCGAACCCGAGACCCCTTGCCCGGCAGCCGCACTTGCGACCACTCGGCCAACGAGGCAGTTCATACAAAAGTAGTCTCTAATCATCGGGAATTAGGTCTATTAGACGTAGTGGAACACGGTCCTGTGACCGCTGACTGCTTTTTTTAGGGGGAAAATCATCCAATTACGTCTCCCACCCGGGTGACGCGAAAAGGAGTGTCAGACTCGTACTTCGTAAAAACCAGCCCGTTCCTACTCCTGCAATGCGAGCCGGAGCCCGTTAAATCCTCTGCGGCACCGTATCGGCATCAGCCATTTTGGGCCCCATCTTTGATGATCTGATTGCTCTTTTAGACTCGCGCGGAACGCGACGCGCCATACACTCGAGTACCAGTGACCACTTGGAGATAGATCTGTTTTAAACAGAGATTGGACAACACCATGAGACAGGTTGTTTACATTAAAACCAAAAACATTTTTTATGGAATAGGAGGCAAACGAGCAGACGCATCATCTGATGATAAGCGATCAGCGCCGCCCATGGACACCTGAAACACCAAAGGCGTTACAAGTGCGTTGCCGGACTTTTGGGACTTTGGAATTTGAGGATTGTGGGAAATTCGGGGATTGAGGAGACTGGGGATTGGGTAATTGGGCCTCCGGTAACCTCATTCGCACGACAAAATACAAGGAAAGCGTTGTTTCACGTCGGTTTTCTATGAGGCCGTGGTATCACTCCGGTCGAGCCGGCCCATTCGTGCCGAAGCATGGCTCTGCCACAATTTCGGTTCGGAAATACCTCTGACGACAGACAGGTCTCACTAATTTTCCTTTTTGCCTGTTATGTTATAAGTCAAATGGAATATTAAAAACTTCTACCATGACTAGGGTCTGAGTCTATTTAGTCTAACACACAGAACTTTAAATTCTGTACTATTATTAAAAACTCTTGGCCGACTACCTCGTTGGCCGAGTGGTCGCGATTGCGACTGCCGGGTAAGGGGTCTCGGGTTCGATTCCCGGGTCGGGCAAAGTATTACTAGGTTTTTAAAAAATTCTCAGTAGTAGCACGGAGTCTGGAACTGTGCCTGGTATATGGCAATAGGCTCACCCCCTATAACATAAACTCATAACATAAATAGTGATAAGTGGGTGTTACATTGTACAGTGGTATAATGTGCACCTCTTCCTACCCCTTCGAGGATAAGAGGCGTGATGTTATGTTATTATTAAAAACAATTTCTGCCTTTGACACAAAAGGAAAGATAATACCGTCCAGTATGACTGAACTATACATAGTTCAGTTATATCCTGAACAATATGAAGCCTAATCAATATCCTAATGATAGTAGATGCGATCATTATCTCTTAATTAACCCATCAAGCGACCTCATCTATACCGCAACATAAGCTGCTGTTTATATGTATATGTGCTCATGACGATACCTAACTACGTGTGTCGCCTGGATAGTCAACCTCGCTGCATCCTTGTTGACTGGACATCTACACTACATGAGCTGCTGTTTACATGTGAACATTAGCTCATGACGATACCAAAGTACGTGTGTCGCCTGGACAGTCAACCTCGCTACATCCTTGTTGACTGGACATTTACACTACATGAGCTGCTGTTTACATGTGAACATTAGCTCTTGACGATACCTAAGTACGTGTGTCGCCTGGACAGTCAACCTTGCTTCATCCTTGACTAGGCTGAACAATATTTAATTTTTATTAGTAAAATGACACTTTGAGATAAAATAATTTTCAGCGTTTTAACTTTAGGTTTCTGAACATTAATAGATTTTACATTAAGATATGCTGATTTGAGTTAAAAGTTTATGAACATTTTGTCCATACATTTTATTGTCCCTTTTTATTATTATGAATTTATGCAAAATATGCAAAAAACTTTGGAACGAAAGAAATAAAATATTCCAGTGTTTTATTGACTTTGTCTCTGGGTATTTTATAATCGCCGCCCGCCGACAGTCAGATAACCTCGACAAATTGGTTGTTGTTATTATTTATTATTTGACATTTTATGTACAAACTAGCAGCCCGTCCCGCCTTCGCTCGGGGTAGACATTATTTTATTTTTTTTCTAAATGGAATGTAGCCTATGACAAATTGGAAGAATGTAGCATTCTATTGGTGAAAGAATTTTCTAAATCGGCCCTGTACTTTTTGAGCCTATTCATTACAAACATACAAAAATAGGTACAAATCTTTCCTCTTTATAATATTAGTATAGATGTATACAACGGCGGACTTAATGCCGAATGGCATTCTCTACCAGCCAACGATAGGGTGATGCAGAGAAGCTTTACAGTAGGTTTTAAACGAAGTTTGCATTTATTGAAAATTGAAAAAAATAAAAACGAGGGTGATAAATGTACGTATGTATAAAGGTATCCCAGTACATAAACTACATACTTGTTGTTGGTATTGTTGGTAAGGTGGAAGGAAAAAGACCACGTGGCCGATCACCTAGCCGATGGGGTGACCAAGTTGCCAACTACACTGGACTCTCTGTTACGAAAGCCCTGAGAGAAGCCGAAAACAGGACAAGATCGAAGGAAATAATATATAGGTATAGGTAAGTAAGTGGGTCCTATGTGTTTACTTAGTTTTTTAGTTAAATTTCCGTGGTGCTTGGCGACTGGACTTCACCCAGTTGTACAGTCTCTTCTTTGTGCCTTTAGGCTTAATTCATTCTGTCCCCTGCAGTAATCCACCGAGGGAAGTGGAAACTATAGTTTTTTCTTTTTCTCCTCTTATAATATCTTCTGATTCACTTCGTTGCGGGAACCAAGACAGTTACTCATGTCCCTGGGACGCGACGGACTTCAATGTTCCGGTGTTTTCATGGTTGTATCTACTGATCCTGGCTTAGAGGAGTTGCAGCGGTTTTGGGAGGTTGTGGCGGGCTTGTCCCATTAAAAAAAATATAGGTATAGTTATAGGTCTAAGTAATAGTTATGAATTTCAGCTGACATTAAATTTTGTAAGGTTTTAAATTGCTGCGCCCTAACAGGGTAATGTACTGAATTAGTTGTATGTAATATTTCCTAATAAATGTACATATATTGTGAAACATGAAT